CTCACAAGCATTTTGATGTTTGCGAGGTTCATTAACAAATGAGTACTTTCATCAAATGAATGTATCGCGAACATGTGTTACCATGTGGAGCCAGTGAATTCACCTTACGTGGTGGAGGTCGTAAACATACGGCAATATGACAGTTTTTCGAAAAGGTGCGGAGCAGAGTTCACTCACCCTCACTCATACCAAATCAGTTAAGAGGAGTGAACAGAGTGATTAATGAATTTCAGGTTCACACAGATTTTTAAGCCAGCGGACTTGATGACACTACTACTGAAGAAGGTGTGGAAAGAGGACAAGGTACCTACGGACTGGAAGAAAGGCTACTTATTCAAACTACCAATGAGAGGAAACTTAAGTCAATGCAAAAACTGGTGTGGCATTATGCTCCTGTCCATCCCAAGCAAAATACTAAGCCGCATCATCCTGGAGAGAATCAAACACGCCCTGTGTGAAACACTTAGACCGAAACAGACTGGATTCAGGAGGAACAAGTCATGCATCGACCAAATCGCAACACTACACATCATCAATGGACAGAGCTTAGAATGGCAGTCAGCTCTCTATCTCAACTTCACTGACTTTGAAAAGGCCTTCGACAGTGTTGATCGAGAGGTGATTTGGAAACTACTTCGCTACTACGGGGTGCTGCCAACAATTATACACCTCATCCAACAGTTGCACGACAATGCTGCATGCCAAGTAATTCACAACGAGAAACTCACGGAATCCTCCGAAGTGAAGACGGGAGTAAGACAAGCTAGCTGACTGGCTGCCTACTATCTCCAATGATTTTCCTAAATTCGATAGAGTGAATAGTGCGACAGACAGCAGCAAGCAAAGAGGAGACAGGCACAAAATGGACCCACACAAAATACCTGCAGGATCTAGACTTCGACGATGATATATGTCTGATTTCCCACAAAGTGCAAGATATGCAAGTGAAAAGCAACAAGTTGGCGATATAAGAAGCACCAAAGATAGGCCTGCAGGTGAACATATAGAAAACAGAGGTGATGGAGATTCCTGGCCAACACCAACAGCAACAACAACAGACAACAATCATCAGAAAAGGGGTGGAATCTGAAAGAAGCAACCTCCTTTACCTACCTACCTGGGAAGCATCGTTTCAACTACAGGTGGACGGAACTGATGGGGATATCAAAGCAGCGAGGATCGGGAAAGCAAGGCAAGCTTTCATTTCTCTCAAGTCTGTGTGGAGATCAACAGCACTCAGCATGAAAAATAAGATCCGGATTTTCAACTCCAATGTGTAGCCAGTGCTACTATACGGACCAGAGATTTAGCGCCGCGTCAAACAAACTACACACCTTCATCAACAGCCGTCTTCGCTCAGTACCACTCAAGATCAGATGGCCGGCCAGAAAAGATCATCAACAGGGATCTCTGGTAATGAGCAAACCAACCCAGCAGGAACCGACGGTGCAACAAATATGCAGGAAGAAATGGAGGTGGATATCCCAAGCGGCGAGTTGACCGTCAGTGCGAGGATGACATGGAGGAGGTGATGCGAAGAGGAGATGAAAACATGTGGGCAGACGTGGAGCCAGGTGAAAAGGTTGACAGAGAACCGAACGCAATGGAGACGTGCGGCTGAAGCCTTATTTTGCTCTAGGAATTAAAGGAAACAATAATATAATAATAATAATATTAATAATTCGAAATTTGTATTTCCTAACGAGTGAAAAAGGAAAAAAGATTCTCTTCATGGCTTTAGAAAATGCAAACTTCTAGTGATAATATCTTTTAAGTAATGTGCAATAAGTTTCCTTGATATAGTACACATCGATACAATAGTAACAACTAGATGATGGTTCGAGCATAATTTATTGCTCATAACCATATCAATTTATTCACAAGGCTTCATAATTTGCTTTTAACGTAAATTTTTCCCCTTACCCCCTATTTGTTTTTGCCATCTTCCATATCGCCAATGTCATTTAGATTGTACGTGTTTAGCCTTAATTCGATGAACAAAATTTTGGTGATTAACCTCTCTGTTCGCCTTTAAAACGTTCAACGTATCCCACTCTGTTGTGTGATTACTTGCAAGTGAATGCATAATATTAACCGAGCTTTCCTCTAAATTATTTAGCTTAGCAGGGTCAGTCATTCTAGCTCTAGCTAAATTTCTACGTTCCAACAATCTGACTGACCCCATTAATATATGTGTAAAACTTGGGCACTCTGGTAGTAAGTAATTCCATATTAGTTTGTTTATTAGATGTATCATACAGTGAAACAGTATTGTTTACTGGATGACGTTTCGAACAAAATTTATTGTTCATAATCATTTCATCAATTATAATCACACGACTTCGAAATTTGGGTTTTATAGTTTTCTTTGTCCCCTCCTATTTGTCGTCGTTGGGGTAGTAGAATTTTCTAGATATCTCGGACAGGTGTTGAATCATTCCTATTACATGTGTTTGCAGTTGATTTGATGAACAAAGCTTCTGTTATCAATCTCTCCCTCCACCCTGCTGTGACATTAGATTTCAAAACTGTCATCGTATCCCATCCTATTCTATGGTTGTGTGTGATTGCATGTAGTGACGGCTATAGCTGAACTATTTTCTAGATTTCTTATCTTATTCGGGTCAACCAATCTAGATTTTGCTAGGTTTTTATGCTTGGCTAGTCTGACTGCCCCTGTTCTACTAGTTTGACCTATGTATTTGACCTGACAATCATTGCAGGCAGGGTATTAGACAAACTAAATTGTTTTGTTTTAAAGGCTCCACATGATCGATCGTTTAACTGACAAAGCATGTTTCTAATTGAGTTTGTGGATTTGATACCAGCCACTTTTATTCCTGCCTTCTTAAGAATTCTCCCTAAGGTTTCCAAGGTTCCTTCCTTCTATGGAATTACTACTGATGATTTAGATTCCTTATTGTTGGTGTTGTCTGAACGTTTCAGTCACTATGTTTTCCCACCTATCCATGAATATGTCTGCCACAATCGAGGATTGTTTGTATATTTTCCCCTGGTGGAGGCAGCGATTGATGACAGCGGAAGTTTTGTTTATCGAATCATCTGCAAATACGTGTAATAGGAATGATTCAGCACCTATCCACCCAGATATATGAAGAATTCTACTACTCCAACAACGACGAATAGGAGAGGACAAAGAAAACTATAAAACTCAAGTTTCGAATTCGTGTGATTACAATTGATTGATATGATTATGAACAATGAATTTTGTTCGAAACGATATCACCCAATAAATAATACTGTTTCACTGACTGTGTGATACATCTAATAGAAAAACTAATATGGAACTAAGTGACCCCAGCTTCATAGTCATTACACAGCATCTGCTAAGTTAAATATTATTTTTTCTGAAAAATGGATCTCTTGGGTCCTTGAGCCGACAAAGTTTGTCTCTGAGTGAGTTGATTGATTTAAACGCTATCCTAATTATGAATCTGTGTCAACACATGGATATGATTATGAGCAATAACTTGTGCTCGAAATTTCATCCAATTATCTTGACTGTATCATTGTATACTTTAGCGAATAAACTTATCTAATGTAGAACTTATGGAATCCTTCGAAGTAAGGACAGGAGTAAGACAAGGCTGCCTACTATCGCCAATGATTTTCCTGATTGCAGTAGATTGGATAATGCGACAAAAAGCAGGCAATGAGGAAACAGGCATGAAATGGACCCACACAAAATAAATTGCAGGATCTGGACTTCGCCGATGAAATATGTCTGATTTCCCACAAACTGGAAGATATGCAAGCAAAAAGCAACAAGCTGGCAGAAGAAACATCAAAGATAGGATTTCACTTCAGGTGAACATAGAGAAAACAGAGGTGATGAAGATTCCTGGGAAACACCACCAACAGCAGCAACAAAAACTGACAACGATCAGCATAAATGGGAGGAACCTGAAAGAAACAACCTCCTTCACCTACCTACCTGGGAAGCATCGTTTCAACTACAGGAGGAACTGACGAGAATATCAAAGCAAGGATCGGAAAAGCAAGACAAGGTTTCACTACTCTCAAGTCTGTGTGGAGGTCAACAGCATTGAGCTTCAAAAATAAGATCCGGATTTTCAACTCCAATGTGAAGTCAGTCAGTGCTACTATACGGATCAGAGACTTGCACTGTGCGTCATAAAGAGCATCTCAAACAAACTACAGACATTCATTAACAGTTGTCTTCACTCAGTAACACTCAAGATCAGATGGCCGATCAGAAAAGATCAGCAACAAGGATCTCTGGTAATGAGCGAACCAACCCAACAGAAACTGACAGTGCAACAAATATGCAGGAAGAAATGGAGGTGGATTGTCCATACTCTGAGGAAACCATCAAGTGACATCACTAGACAAGCCATCGCTCGAGTGGAACCCGAAAGGGAAGCGGCAAGTTGGTTGTCACTGCAAGGGTGACTTGGAGGAGGTCATGTGAAGAGGAGATGAAAGCATGTGGGCAGACTTGGAGTCAGGTGAAAACTCTAGCAGAGAACCGAACGCAATGGAGACTCGCGGCTGAAGCCCTATGCTCCTCTAGGAATTAAAGGAAACAATAATAATACTATAGAACAGAAGGTATAGTTTAAATACTCTCAATCACCATGACAAATACTTTGCTTTAAAACCAATAGACTGAATTCTAATAACAGCCTTTTCCCACCTTGATCTGCAACACATGGGCATTCATTAGTTGATTTCTGCATCGACACTGTTAATTCCAGAGGGTGACGCCCTTGTTTCTCCAAGGCTTTATAGGAAAATTCCAAACAGTAGAACTCCAGGTATATATATATATATATATATAGTTAATCCAGTGGGATATTTTTTTTCTCAGAAATGCACCTGCCATCTACATAATTAAAAATATATACAATTTTCTTTTCCGGGTAAAAATCAATGACTGCAACAGCATATTGATGTTTGTCATTTTATAATATCTATTCATTCACATTCATTTATACTTCTAGGCAACAGCAAAAAAGAAAATAACCAATCAGGCAAATATTCAAAAGACAACGTTATCCTACAGGAAGTCATTGGATAACCAATAAGGCAGTACAAGTGAATGTTAGACTGACATCATTTGTCAGGGGAGATAACAGTTTGTGGGATATTATTATTTAAGGACAGAAAATACGTGTATTACGAAACGTTAAGCAAAGAAAATAACAGTTCAGATTCAATATATATATCAAAATGGGATATTATTAAACAGATGTAAAGATATGCTATTAATCAGTATGCATAAAATCCTTCCCACTACGTTACCTAATTTAGTAACATGGGCTATATTCTACTTCTTATATAAGGTGAATATAGGTGAGTTGAGATATTTGTGTATTTTTTTAGTGGTCTGTTTTCATGAAACAACCAGCGGGGTCCACTACGTCAGCTAGGAGAACAGTTACTCGCAGATGTCAATGGCTTACGGTTTTGATGTATATATCATGAATTGGTAGGAATCACTGGATCGGGACCCACTGACTGAGTGACCTACGAGCTCACTTTGTAACCGGAAGGTCCTGATTTCGAGTCCCAGTGGGTGCGTACTGATGAAGAGTCCTTAACAGGGACAAAACGACTGTCCATTAGTCTCCGGTTATCTAGTGGTTCTCTAAATTATGTCAGCTCGTGATCAGACCTGTAACTAATCAGATGCTAGCAGGCCGAAACTTGAGAAATCTTTGACAAACTTACGCTTTACTTAAGAGACCTAATTCTACCAGAATTCTAATAAGTCTTGATATTTTGAGGCGAAAAATGTTATGGTGCTAATTGTGCCTGTTGGATTACTTTCTAATGATCTTATTGAGTGTTTACAACTAGCTTAGTACATTCTGTAGGATGAGTAGTTTACTAAAAAGTTAACATACTTGTCAAGATTGCTTAGCACCTGACATTGGTTAAATTTATGTTGTAATTAGTTAAATATTGTCTAACATTATATCAGGCTTAAGTATATTATTTGGTGGATTGTGACTAGCAGTGGGATCCAAGATGTACATTTTGTCCTATTAGGGACTTGAGATCCACACTGAGTGATAATGTTCCCACTGAACCTTGTACCCTGTACCCATCGTTTCCAACGCCAAGGCATTATCCATGAGGACTACCTTCAAGCTAGAGTTTGAAGTTTCTGTAGCAGTGTTTATTTTTACATGCCCAACCTTTCCTCTTTACCAGCTTTATTTCTGGCTTAGCAAGGTAAAGGAGTGCGTCGGCTGGGGATCGGACCCCGTACCATGTGCATGGTCGGTGAGCGTGCAAAAGGAATATCAGTTATTATATATACAGGTCGAAAACAGCCCAACAGTGATATCTTAGTATGGTTGAATCTCATTTTATTATTATTATTTACTCCTGAAATCCGTGCTTAAGCTTTGCCTTACCACTTTGGTTGGATCAGAAACTTCATCACGTGTATATTATTTACATCACCTTGAAAGGACCTGAATGGAATTCCAATAGAACTAAGCACCGTGATGGCGAGCTACCTAGAATGGTGGCCACATTGCAAATACCTGACTGATAGAATTCAGTCTGCAGAAATCAAAGGACTAGATTCATTACACTAGTTACCAGTGTCCGATCAGAATACCCACTGCAGTCCTACAGGAGGTCAATCGCAAGCCCGAATAGCTCAGTGGTAACGTCTCTGACTGCAGCACTGAGTGACGCGGTTTCGAATCTCAGAAGGGACATGAGTTCCTTCAAGGTTACAGATACACCTTGCTGACTGGTGAGTGCCAACTAGCACGAAACCTAGGTCGAAGCAAGGCTTCCTGCCAATTGCCTCAAACTATCTAATATCAGATCAATGGGCACCGTGATGGCGAGCTACCTAGAATGGTGGCCACATTGCAAATACCTGACTGATAGAATTCAGTCTGCACCAAAGAAGGACTAGATACGTCACACTAGTTACTAGTGTCCAATCAAAATAAAAAGGATAACTATTGGAAAATATGCAAAGTTATTATGGTTAGTGTGGTACTTTTAGATTTAATGCGATTTCTGGCTTTATACATCGCATTTCATTCATTACATGGACAGTTAAACTTTTATTCGATATCCATGAAATATTTTGCAGCCAACGCAATCGCCTGTTATTCTTGTGTATCCGTCAACGGAAGTAATCCAGCCTGTGAAGATCCTGTCAGTGCTAATGTTCAAGTTCAGATACCATGTCGTCAGATTATACCTGGACATGACGGGCTTTTCTACGCGCATCACTGTTCAAAAATCAAAGGTATTCGTCAAAAGGATGGTTTTAGTCTGTTGATACGAAAGTGTTCAATGGATAAGCTATCTGATATACCTACTCATTGTGGACAATTTCAACTGGACGATGATTTATATCATGGATGCATTGCAACCTGTTCCAAGGACTGGTGTAATACTGACAATAAATGTTCAATATTTAACTGGATGTTAACTTTATCTTTGCTAGTTCTGTTATATAATGTAATAATTTAAACAACCAACACCAATCTTTTAACTTTCTACTAAATGGGTGGAAAATTAAGTTGATATAAATCATCCACAAGGCAGTATAAATGGCACTTCTAGACAAAAGTGATGTCGAACCACTTCTGCGTCTGAAACCCACATCTCTGTATCGGGTGTACGAAGTTGAATATTACTGATAAAGGAACTGAAATACGACATTATGATAATGCAGTAGGACAAATCATCAACATTGCAGAGGATGTATCGTTTTGAGGAATTTCATCATCAGGACTTCGTCAGCACATCTCCATTTCACCCTGTTCCCTGAAATCCTCTTCATCTGACTCCACGATTGTCCATAAGCTTTCATCTCCTCCATATCACCCACAGACCTAAGACCAGTTGGTCGTTTCCTATCCGTGACCCACTCGAGGGCCTGGTGCGCGATGTCACTCAACGGACTCCTGAGCGCGCATCCAACGCATATCCATTTTCTTCTGCATAGTTGTTAGACAATAGGCTGCTGGTGATTTCGTTCCCAAAGTTCCTTGTTCCGAATCTCTTGGGGCTGGCCATCGGATCTTCAGTATGGGGCTAGAGCAGTTGTAGACGAACATCTGCATCAGTCTGTTAGAAATGCTCTTGGTGACGCTCCAAGTCTCAAAACCATATAGAAGCACTGATTTCACATAAGTGTTGAAAGTCCCGATCTCGTTCTTTATGCTGAGTGCAGGAGATTTCCAAACTGATTCCAAATTATTCAAGGTCTATCTTGATTAGTTGTAGTACGAACGAATTTACACCATGAAACAATGATTCCAGTAGGGAAAATTCCCTTCATATCTGTTCAATTGCATTTAAAAATGGATTACAATAGACAGTAACCAGTATTTGGGAGTGTACGTGTGTTGAAATTCGGCAGTGAATGGAAATACTAAAGTAAGTTAATATTAATTTATATTGTAACAACAGAAGACAAGGGCCAGGCGACAGATCGTTTATTACGGAAAATCAACACATATCTATAGATTTTGACGTACATTATTGTAGGTTAATGTTAGTAGAAAATACAGTCTGTTGATTGGTTGTTTCTCTCACAAAGTTAACCTTGCATCTCTTGTGGCTGTGTCAGTTCTGTATCCGCCTGTCCCTCTTGACCTTGACCTCAATTACTGTCAACCAATTTGGCTAGCAACCATCTCTCACCACAACATGATGTCAACCAATTTGGCTAGTAGACAGCTCTCACCACAATATGACTATGTATCAGAAATCGATTACAAATACGAATGAATACAGAAAAGTTGGCGAAAAGTTCGATTTATCTTTTTAACAGCAGATGAGGTACTGTTCTGTGTAGCAAAGCAAAGAAATATCCCTATCTATTCATCTTTATAACTTGAATTGGGTACCAGCTATATAACCAGTCAGTAGTCTTAGGCCGTTTTTCAAATCTTAATTATCATCACACATGATGAACGTGTCATCCACATGAAAAGCTAGTCAAGGAATATACACATTGGATCGCAGGAATTAATTAAAAAGACGGTTGCAGAGATGAAAAGTTTCTTTTAGACGAAGTCATCCGCTAGGCTGTACATTCGTTTATTTATAGTAAATGTGTGAGAAAGTTCCAGTATTATTTCCGGTCAAAGGTTAAATTAATGAAATTAAAAAGTAAAATAATCAGGAATATAGGGTAGAAAAGACATAATAAGATCATAATTACTGAAAAACTTGACTGTTTGTACAATTACGGATTAAGGATGTAGTAATAACAAAATAGGTAGGAAGTTCAAATATATAAAACACAAAATGAATAAATGTAGTAATGCAGATAGGAATTGAAAACGTAAAATTAGCACAAAATAAACAGGAAAGTGGGATAAGATTTGTAATTGGATAATGATTATTGGTGAGACTGACTTTTTATGATGACCACGATAGAGTTAATGGTTGGACGTATTTCTTTCGAACACATGGCGTGGGCTTGAGATTTTGGATCGCCAGTGCCTCCACTATTCCTAGATGCCTTGATTTCACTCCTTTTGATAGGTTTGATTGGATCTGGTACATGACTTTGAAAGACTTTTCAAATGGAGCTGGATATCCTGAATTCACCATATGTTCTGTTACCGAACTACATACATAGACCCTTGCGTTCTCCCTTTGCTAGCCATACTGGATAGTGCTCCCGAGAGCGTTTTACAAATGAACGCATGGTAAAGCCAATGTACTCGCCGTCACACAGGCAAGTGAACTGGTATATACCTGTTGGTGTGGCTCAACACGACAGCTTGTCTTTCACTTGCTAGTTGAATAGCTTCTTGCAGGACAATGTTGCTCGTAGGCTGATGACGAAGTATGTTTTACTGAGAGACTTTGAAATCCGTCTGAGGAGAAGTTCTGCCTCGGTATCACTTTTAAATTTGAGGTTAAGTATCAGCATCTTTTTGGGAGCGACTTAGATCTTTTCAGGCGTTTTCTTTGGTTTCAGATTCTTGTCTATGAATCTAGGTGAGAAAACATTTTCTTAATAGAAAAAAAATCCCCATTTATACATTTAGAAAGCAAAAGGATTGAGCGAAGAAATATTTACTTTTCAATTAGATCCTCATTCCTGGTACGAGCATGTCAAAGGAGTGATAATTAACGAAGAAAATTAATACATAGAATTAAAAGGTAGGAATGGCTACAACAAGTGGATTGCATAGTGCATAATTTTGGAAAAATTAAGAGGAATTACGAAATAAGTGAGTGCTCAAGTTGATTACGTAACACTCTGTTAAAGAAAAATAAAACAGTTTGGACAATGATAACACGGGGTTAAAGATGAAGTAGTCAGAGAAATAATAATAATAGTGGCCAAGGCAAGGAAAGTGGCTGTATGAATTCCTTCCAAACACACAGATTTGGTTTCTTCAGGTAAATTCCTATGGCTTCAGCTATATATGTAAAAGACGAACTCGTAAAGCGAAATAAAGACTAGTAGGAATGGAATAAATAATTTTAAATGCTGCCGGTTTTTATTCGCTAATTTAACCCAATTATTTACTTGTCTCTTCTTTATAAACGCGACAACAAACGATTATAAACATGGCCTTATCCCAGATTGCCTAATGTATTAATGATATTGAATACTATGGATATATACGTGAAAGAGACTCTTGAAATACACAGTGGGTTCCCTAAGTCATTCACTTGCCTAGTAGCTACAGATGCGCTGTAAACAGGCACAGCTTATACAGAAGAAATTTATAAGCCTACATAAAACAGAGAATCAACTTACAAAAAGTGATCAGAGTCCTTGAAATTTGTGTGTTATCTCTGGGATCTCTCTCTCAAAGAAAGAAAACTTTCCGCACTACCCCCTATACAACTTCAAACTCTACTAACAAAACGTTGTCAGTAGCTACATGAGAAAATATTTCCAATACACAACTTATGAATAGAGCTCAGCGGAGACAGGAAACACATCACTCTGATACTCAGTTCACTAAAAGAACTAAAAATGTGTCTTAAGCCGACTCTAATTTTCACATTATAATTGCAATAATTGGCTGAAACAGTTCTTAAAATAACACTAGACGGGATCTCATTAAGTGTTTTTACTTGTATTGTACTAGTGGAAAACAAATTTTACTCAAGAGAGCTGCTTGCATTTCCATGCAGCCGGCTATAAGCCACATCTATTGCGTGAGGACTTTTGATGCTACCTGACTCCCCCGCCCCCCCTAAAAATGAAGCCCAGGACTCAGAAGTCGGAAATTACATACTTATTCCACTGTCATACATGCACGAGTAAATATTCCTATGAAACGCTTACATTATTTTATTGTTTTTCCAACGGCGGCCTACTTAAATCCCTAGGATGCCAAAGTTTCCACACATCAAAAATGCTTAAACTCTTCTGCATTTCTTACTGTATGAATCATGCGATTGTATCAGACTACCACTACATGAACTCATGCACGTATTTAATTAGCTTTCAAACAAACACTGAGGGGATGAAGAAAAGTGTACCAAATTGGTTCTCTATCCATATGCAACAAAACTATATCACATCAAAAACTTCAGATTATTACTTTACACATAAATCCTATACGAAGACGAAATATTTTGAGCTGCTGCAAATTTCTGTACTATGTCTTCGCATATTGTCCGAAATAAAGCTTTATCGTCACTGTTATTATACAGAAATAATTATATAGAATTTTCTACAACAGGCGATGAGGTACGGTAATGTAGAGACGCTAAACATTACGGAAGTTATCACATTTGAATCTTTCGCGACGAAAGTCACAACCTCAAAAACTGCCATACAGAAATGAATTTCACGCTTCAAATGGGAAACGAATCCAAAATTCTCTCCCTTGAAGTGGAACTAACAAGAACTGACAGAATCGCAAGAACGGCAATCCACAGGAAACCTACATGGAACAGTCAACTGACAAGTTCCCACAGTCGGGCGGCTGTTGAAAGGGAAACGAAATTTAATCAAACCTCTTGCCGCTCATATTCAACGCATCTGTAGCCCTAATACCGTAGAAGTGGTACTAGACCTTCGGGACGAAATCTTCATACAACATGGATACTCATCGAGATTCATTGACGAAATTATCAAACCAAAAGTTCAGAGAAACGAAACGTTACTTGTACTAAGAAATAAACTTTACATGGGCTTTGATTTCAAGAGAAACTTGAACTGCTATCATCATCTTTGAAAACATTCTTCGCTGCAACTCTAAATGTAGTGTTTTCCAGTTGTCCACTAGTCTGCGAAACCCTGAAGGATAAGAGGTTGCATCTGACTACTTCTATGTGCATATATCAGATCACCTGGTCCTGTGGTGCTAGGTATATTGGTCGTTCGATGTGTATCCTGTCTAAAAGGGTTCAAGAACACTATCCTACGATGTCGCAGAAAGGCAGCAGTGGCTCTATAAGGAGTCAGACAGCTGTGAATACCTTGTTGACACTGATCATTCTACCTCAACAAACTCTTCCTTCAAAGAAATCTATAAAGTGAACAACCTGCCGAAGACAATACACTTTCGTCTCCATTGCATTACTGAAGCTCTAGCTATTCAGACAAAAAGAAGTGGAGCTCTGAATGTAAAATAATTCAACGACTTCTATTATCATGGTAACAATCGTGTTGTTTTCTACTAACTTGGCTTTACTTGTTTGTTTTTTTGACTCTTGTATTTCTTACATAACTTCAGATTTGCCTTCGTTTCTATGTTCATCCTAATTATAATTCATTAAGTTGTTCACCCTATTACGTAACTACGATGCACTTATTCAACTCCTCCTCCTCTTGTGCATTGACTAATATAAACAACTGTGATTATTACAATTCATCACTTTCTTACTGCCATGTTTCATGAGGACGGACAGCTGGAGAAAATGAATTCGCCGAAAAGAGCCTCTTCGCTGCAATACTTGTTTTGTTGTTTACATAAGAATTAAGTATTCAATCAATAAAAAATACACCATCATAACACAGTGAAGTTTTACTAGAAAAAAAACTACTATTATTATAAATGCAATTCATCATTTACAGAGATGTTGAACGCCGCTTCGTATTAAATGAAGTATAAACTGCAAATTATAAAGACGGGTTTAGAAATGTACAATCAAAACCACCGAAATCTTGTGAGAATATTGTGTGTGTGTGTGTGTGTGTGATATCAAAATAAAACTTCTTTGTTTTAAAAATGAGACATCATATGGAATTAAAAGAAATGTCTGGACGAGTACGGGTACACTCCTCTTCTGGAGATAAAGATACAGCAATAGAATACAGAGGGTCAGTTTTGGAATCATATTGAGGAACATCTAATTCCAAGTGGTCTAACATAACAGCACGAAATAACTCATCACAAGGAACACGAAGAACTAAGTCAGCGACCCCGTCTTTACAAGTAGGCTGTAAATTAATAATAACCAGGCGACAATTTTCAATAGCATTCGCAATTGGAGTCGATTCTGCTTCTTGATCGGAAGGTGCTGGTTTCTTTTGAAGTTTCTTACACAATCCCTTCTGATCACATCGACCGAGACCGTAAGGCCACAAAAATGAATAATTTCGTAAAACAGTCAGAGATGAACCAATGACAATTATCAATTTGGCGGGTGTTTCCAACGGATCAGAGGACCGAGACGGTGTATCATCTGCACCTGTGGATTTAGAAACGCCTTCACATTCTGTCTTCATTGCAGGACGCATTCTTTTAAACCATGGAGATCCTATAAGATATTTTATTGACTCATCATTAGGACGTTTGCAACCACGATTCAGCAGTTTACAGTCTTTTGAAGTAGACGTTACAGCATCTTTCAGTGATTTACGACCATGTACAGCTTCTATAGCTGATTGAATGCGATAAATTTCCGCTAGTCCCATTTCCGGTTGACGTTCAAAAAAATGTACAACAACATCTCTTAACAAAGGTGCATTTGTGAGAATTTCAGAATTACTTACAACAGATGAATTTTGTGCACTATTTAAATGTTGCTGCATCGCTTTACAACGTACACTTTCAAATGACTTGGCTAGCTTTCTTGCAGCATGCCGATAACTTAACATTAAGTTTTCAATAGACACATTTGTTTTGTACTTTGACGTTGCGAACTGTTCGGCTGTTTGTCGTAGTACATTACTGGCGATTGAACTCTCGAAAGGGTGTAAACTGCGGCAGCGAGGACATATACGTCCAGTAAAGTGGTGTGAACGGGAAGTAGTCTCAGCGACATCAAAGCTCCGGAAGACACTGTGTGAACAAGCGATACATTGCTGAAAGAGAAAGGAATAACACTGGTTACGATAGGAAAGGCTTTTGCTATATTACGCTTGCAAAAAGCTTTTAAATAATAAGCCATGATATGTGTTTTCCCAAGGTAGATGTGATGTGTGAAAAAAAATAGTACACGTATAATAAGATGTATAATTTGCGTCAATTTGACAAACTTTAAGTTTAAAATGCCCAGTCCTCTATTTAGATTCTGAGCCACATATGATGACGTCTCCAACCGATAAGTTGTATAGTTTCTCAAAATTCACCCAGGGAATCTTAACATGCTAACTGATGGTAAAATAACGTAACTACCCTTCATCTCAACACACAACTTCATACACTGACCACCACAAACAACAAGTTTATTTTACACCTGTGTCCTTTCACTAATTAGGCAATATTCAGATTTGTCGTACAGCAAATTTTAAGAATCGTTAGCAGAACGAAAATTAGACATCTATTAATTATGTGTTTGACTGATATTCATTAAATACAATAAACTCTCATAATAAGTGAAACTCTGCTAACGTCAACCGTGGGGGGAAACAGTAAATTATAAGCCTACATACACCAGGTGTGCATCATATCTTCTTATATAAAAAATTGCAGTATGTACTTGAGTAGTACGAATACTATAATCATAACCTCACTTAATTTACTAGTTTACCAAAGAAATTAGGAGATACGGAATAAAAGTGCTAGGAATCCGTGAGAACAGATGGAAGACAGCCAGGAAGGATTAACAACAAGGAACTCTGGGAATAAACCAACCAAGAACATGCTGTCCAACAGATGTTGAAAAAATAGGGGTGAATCAGACGAGACCGTTGAGTGACAGCACTCACCAGACAAGGCCTCAAGCGGAACCCGAATAGGAGACGACTAGTCAGGCGTCCGAGGGTGATATGCAAGAGATCGTGTTAGGAGGAGACGACAGCTCGCGATCGGTAGTGGAGCCAGCTAAAGAGGACTGCAGAGGACAAGACGAAATGGAGATGCGCTGTTGGAGTCCTCTGTCCTACTCGGAACCTAAGGGAATAATAATAATAATCAAAGTATAAAAACGAGTTCTTTAACATGATACAAGACTTTATACATAAATAATAAGGTGAAAGCATTTTAGTATTCAATCACCCTACTTTTTATTTGCCTAACACATAGAAAATTAGATTGATATGTATGTCAAGGATTAAAGCTACCTGGACGTTTCATCGTTATGCAGCCAACTAGATTATAATGACTGGTCGCAGTTTTATCTATAGTGTATAACAAGTCAATGATTCGGATCCACTTTCAGACTATCCTCTGAAGATTTATTGAGGAAAAGGGCAATTTTAAGTAATGTGTGTGTCAATATAAAACTGGTATCTTAAACGCACTTACTTCAATAAATAAATTGCCATGCAGTTCTGACAGTTTCTCACGTTTTAAACCACTTCGCATATGTAAACCATCAACATTTTGAGAAACTACATGTCGAACCTAAAATTGTGCACAAAACGAATGGCCTTGTTAGTTAAGGTAATTACTAAAATCGATTTCACATAAAGCAAATATGAAAATAGGTTATTGGTACATATAAGTATTTTCTTCAAAGGCTTACCTGAATAATGTTATGCCTGTAAGATTACTTCTATGGACACCCAAATGGACCAAACACAGGTAAGTTTAAGTATATTAAAGAGATCATTGAGTTACCTATTTATGCAACATCCCTAGTTGGAGAACAGTTAATTTCTACCATGGCCTTTCCAAAGAGTCTAATATACGCCTTTGGAGGTCATTCAACAGAAAATTCACACACCATTCGAGTGACTGGCTTTGCAAGAAAGAAAGCAAATCACAGAAGCTAGTTTACGCATCTCTCCAGAGTCGATGTTTAACTAGACAATTCACTTCCTAAGTTTGTGCGAATTAACTTTTGTGACAAACTTTTATAACGCGAGAAGAGACCGCTTTCCACCAAGGAAGACTTCAAATCAGCTCACAGAAATACTTCAACGTGCGTTTATAAAATGAACTTAGAATATATATAAAATCTCTCTTACGTACATATCCTTCATCCACAAGAACTTTGATAGCCATATGAGTGAATGTTGGTTTTGCAGTTGTAGCTTCTGGAAGTCTCAGTTTTAGCGGGGTAGATTTTCTTGACTTTGAGGACTTAAGGGATGGTTTACCATTGGATATTTTACCCTACCACAAAGATGAGCGGTCAGGAATCCTGCATTATACCTGTCTTTTGGTCATCTGATCACATCCTGCTTCATCATTTCTTTTGAAATCAAGAACTAGAACAATATGGTGAAAACTACAGTGAAATACCTGAACTATTATTATTGGTCACTAGACTGGTTTGCGTAGTCCATAAACCATTCGTTCCCCTGTAATCAGGAATACTAGCAGATGTGCTGATTCCAGCACCGGTATATATGACGATATCTCCTTTATGCTCTTTAATGAGGCGAGCCAAGAGAGCTGCATCTTGATGCCAGCTTTGAGCTGTCTGAAAACCAGGGAGATTTAAAAAATGTATGAACATGCGAAATTTAGCATAATATTTTCTCCAAAAACACTAACTGGTTACCTACCACACAAGTAGTACTTAAACTTACCACTTAAAATTATTAGTAGCCGAACGAAATAATAAAATCCATCATCACGGTTAACGCACATAAATTAGACAACGATGATGAAACTGTGTTGAATGTCTCAATTCAAAGTGAAATCACTGTGAAAAAATCCAGCAGGCGAGAAAGACACGAAAGACTAGGTATCAATTTGATTGACGGTGGTTAGCACTGAAATATAGGATGCGCATATCGTCATTCTTGGAACTCCGGATGTATCCGCAATCTTGGTAAGTGTAACTTAAATAGTTCGGTTAACATATCTGCTTACACACTCTAGCTTCGTCTAGTTTTATGTGCACATTCAAGGAAAGTGATAACAAGGTTCGCTTTCACGCACTAGGCAGTGAGTCAAGCATATTTTAATGAATGACGATACCACACTACTACCACTCCTGACTGAAGTACTTTGAACATGGAACTACAGTTCGCTCAACTATATTGGACAAAGCAGATGAAAATAAAACACCAAAAATTAATTGCCAGCACCTCAACCAAACAAATCTGTCAACAGTACATCGCAACAATCGGGAATAAACAGCTTAACCCTACCTTAGTCTAAGAAACACATTAATTTCCAACTACATAGTGAGGCGACTACTTTTCATTCACCTAGGTGCTATACCAAGCCACCAACTTCCCAGACAAACAACGCTTTCTAAGTGAGCGAAATGAAAACAGTCATAATAAAACAATAACTTGCACATATTCCGGTAGTTGATGTGTCACGTTTGGAGGTGTCAGCTGTCTACTTAGACTCCTCGAGTCATTAAGATGTCTGGAGATTCTCGGTCACACGATGCGAAACTGGCGACATTAGTGAGGATATAATATCGCACTAGAGCCACTTTCATTATCCTCCAGGTAGTCGTCACTTCCTCTCTTACCTGCGCTTTTTTTCATTTTGTTCCTTCTAATAACGTAGCAGCCTGAAATAACGAACTGCTGAGTAAACGCCTATTTTGACCTGTCCATCTGGCTGCCTTTACAGCCACGATGATACTACCCTAGTAATCTAATGATGACGATGATAAGTTTCAGGTTAAAAATGTTAGTACAACTTACATTAAAACAAGCAAGAGCTAAAACATCTAGTCTGAAAATAGGCGGAAACCAGTAAGTGTACGTTTCCAACGTTGTATTATGAGGTTTGCACATGAATTAATGCAGAGTTTCTACGAAACAATCCCAAGAACAGTAAGATATTTGAAGATATATTCAGAATTTTGATTATCCAGACGATTTTATTTTCGGTTGTAAATAAGAGACAAGACGCGATTAGCATCTCATCATAGTATCACATATACAGCCGTTGTTTTTTGTTAGGAGTAAATTTTTTGTCACTTGATACTTCTGTTATTCTTCCATGCTATTTTCCTCTTCTATGTTCAACTTCCACTCCACTTAACTTCCTTTGCTTATATAGACTGATATATCAGTTTGCCACCTACATGAATGAAACATATTTGTAATATCCCTACCCAACTAAACCACGGGTCCCCCTCCCCATGACTATTACTCCATAAGAAGCTATGTCAATACAAAAACCATTCCACCAAAACTAGAGTGCGCCCTCACATTGTTAAATTCCTACTTCAGTTACACGCATCACCTAGCTTCTAAATATCAGTAATTCAGATTCATAAGAGCCTTAAAAACTTTTGTTGAACGGCTTCACATCATGAGAGATCCATGCCTATAGTCTTTGCTGCTCATTAATGAATGACAAAATTCACAGGCAACACAGACACTTAAGTATGCTACGCAAAGTAGTTTACCGATCGAGTTGTGATATAAACTTATGATATATGACTACATGTAGTTGGGTAGGTTCATAAAATATCCTGAGGATATGACAAATGCAGAAGTGCTATAACGTCAGAGAATTCTCTGATGAAGGATTTCTCACAACTTTATTAATAATATAAGGAGAAATCCTTAGTTTAATAAGTGAAAAATATTTTTCAAGACTCGAATTACAGAGGACTGACAGAATAGCAATCATAACAACTCAACAGTCATTTTACAAAGGTAGCCCACCATCAGAAAATGTGACGGATTTAAGTGTTGAATATTCAATATTACTGACTCAGCTAAATTACAGCTCCGACGTTCTGATCCAATATCCAATATAATTTTTACGAGCTAGTGTAAACCAATTTGATTTCTTTGTGCTGGCTTCTTGATTATGAGGTAAAGGTTCCTGGTCTTCGGTAAATTTCTGCGCAGTTCGTCCCGCCACTCGACTGTCGCAGCTTTGGTTGACTCCAAAAGGAGTAGTGCTGGGAGTAATTATGTGTTGTTTATAGTATGCGGTGTGTTAAGACTTTGCTACTTCTGTGAATGGATTTGATCCTTTCACCAGTTAGTCCCCCAGTATCGTCGTCAAAAGAAAAGAGATAGTAATAACAACAACACAATTACAGTTTACAGTTTACAATTTATTTAGGATAGTAGGCTATATGCCTGTGTTAATCCTTTCGATTTGTTGCACACAGGAGGTCCAATCTCGCCTTGAATGAATCAACGGATGGCGCTGATACGACGTGTTCCGGTAGGGAGTTCCAATGGTTCACAATCCGATGCGAAAAACGGATCTCCAAACGCAGACGATTCGACCGTGGTTTTTGAACCTTGAGGTGATGTCCTCGCAATTGATTGGTGCTAGAAGGAAGAAATAAATTAGATAAATTTGCTCCAAAACCATTTCTTAGGATACGGTATGCTAGTATTAGGTCACACCTAAGTCGTTTGTATGACAGTGGAAATAAACCCAGTCGACTTAACCTCTCCTCATATGAGAGGGTTGAGAAACCCTTTATTAGCTTAGGTCCTACTCTTTGCACCCTTTCTAATAAGTCTATTTCGTATTTGAAACACGGGCTCGCTGCCTGGATCCCATATTCCAAATGAGGTCTGATATAAGTCGGATATAATATACGAAATATTTCAGCGTCAAAATTCGCAAAAGCTTTGCGTATGGCCCATAATACTCGAAAACCTTTAGTGGCTGCAGCTCTACAGTTTGTTGCTGTTTTCAAGTCATGCTGCACAACCACTCCCAAGTCCTTGTACTCAGTGACCACTGGGAGAGTAATGCCATTCATTGAGTAATTGTGCACATGACTATGAGATACATGCATAACTACACTCTTGCTTAAGTTAATCTCCAAGGCCCAGTGCTTACACCAATCACTTAACAAGTTTAAATCTTCCTGCAAAGCAAGTTGATCACTGTCATCGTGTAAAGCCCTCCATATCTTGATGTCATCAGCAAACAGTAAGCAGGATGACCTAACTACCGATGGAATCTCATTAACATAAATCAGGAAAAGAAGTGGGCCTAGAATTGTACCCTGAGGAACGCCACTCTTAACCGATTCCCATGTTGATGAAACCCCGTTAACTCGTACTCTTTGTCTTCTGTCCTTTAGAAAGTCTTGAATCCAGTCGGCAACCACTTTATTGATTCCCAGATTACCTAACTTTACTAGAAGACCTGAATGAGAAACCCTGTCAAACGCCTTGCTAAGGTCGATGAATATGGCATCCACCGGTATATTAGCATCAGCTGAGCTTGCCCAACTTTCTCTGGCCAAAAGAAGGTTGGTCAAGCAAGAATGACCTGCTCTAAAACCATGCTGTTCCACAGCGAAAAGTTTGTTCCCTTCAATGAACTGAATGATAGCATCACGAATTATTCTTTCTAGTAGTTTAACAACAATACTGGTCAAACTAACAGGACGATAGTTCTGAACTAAGTTTCTAGATCCGGTTTTGAAGACCGGACTAATGATGGCATCTTTCCAGTCTCTTGGACATTTAGACTGGTCCAGAGACATATTGAAGATTACCGACAATGGCTCGGCTATGTTTTCAGCCAATGCTGTTAATATACGTGGGTGGAGTTCAACAGGGCCACTGGACTTACCAGGATTGAGCCTTAGAAAGTACTTTAGGACAGTATCCTTTCCAATGTATAAGGGTGCCATTTCCAAGTTACCTTCTGGAAAATTTACAAAGCTGGTATCAATATTATCAGAGAATACTTGACTAAAGTGCTTGGACAAAGCCTCAGCCTTAGTCAAGTTATCCTCAGCCATGTTTGTCTGGTCATCTTCAAGCATAAGAGGTGGGATAGCATCACTCTTACGTGTTCTTCTCTTGATATATGAGAAGAGTCTTTTTGGGCAGCCTGGTGAACTTTTAACTAACTGGGTTTCGTAAGCTATCCTTGACTGATGAATCAAAGTTTTACACTGGTTTCTGGTTTCACAGTATTTCAGCCGGAACTGCTGTAGCCCAGTAGAAACAAAGAGATTCCAGAACCTTTTTCTCCGTCTTAGGAGTGTTATAGCTTGTCTATTTATCCATGGTGGCCGATTTGTTGGTCTTTTAGGAACCCTGCAGGGAATGAAATCAGTGGTAACCCTCTCAAGTGTATTCTTAAATCTATCCCATTCATCTTCAATGGATGAGACAATATTGACTGACCAGTCGGTAGTTGAAGCACGCTCCTTTATAGAGACTATGTCAGCATGCCAAACACTAGGTTGGGATTTGGGCCGAAAACTGACTAAATTGCCAACCCTTAAGTTAGAACCCAACACCCTATGATCACTGTTTGCTAGAGTAGTGTAGGTTATTCAAACTAAAAGACAAAAAGAGAAATAAGGAAAGCGTAAAAACAGACAGCCAATTAAATTTGAAGTCGGAATATATATACATAAAAATATAAATGTATATAATATCATTAATAATGATAAGTGTAAGTGTAGTAGTTGCAGAAGTCAGGAGAGTAAGACAGGAGAGAATGTAAAGAAGTAAAACGAATTTAGTTGTGTATGCGATTTTAAGGGCATTAGTGTATAACCTGAGTAAACTTTAAATTCTTGCATTTTCTGCCAGCGATATTCTTCCAAAAGTGAGAAGAGAGGACAAAAGTTCAAAATTAGTTCTTTATACCTCTGAAAAAACCCTTAGTTAACACGTGTTCTTTTCTGTCACTTGATATCAGCTAAGTTCTTATATGTACCACTGAAATCCTCTGTCATTATTAAACTGCAATTAAGGGATCCTGTATTGTATGTTAAGACCGAAAAATATCCAGAGTCTTTTGACTGGAGTCATTATTCACACATACAGTGAAAGGGTTTGAGAGTATTATTAGCAACAGTCTTGTGAACATATTTGAACTGTCCACATCAAATCAGTGGAAATATCATGATGGAAGACAGGAATTTGCGTATCATACTTCACGCAGAGTATTAAGATTATTGGGCGGCTTTATGGACCAAAGCTTCTGAGGAATAACAGGGTAAGTTCACTACCAGTGAAAGAACACTGTTATCCACAGCAGTTTGTCAGGAGGGGAAATACGTGGGCTGCAAACAGTTACGAA